AAATAGCTGCAGGGCGTGGTGGCACACACCTGTAATCCCAGCACTCGGGAGGCTGAGGCAGGAGGATTGTTGTTAGTTCAAGGCCAACATGGGCTCCAAAGAGAGTTCAAGACCAGCCTGGACTGCATAGTGAGACCCTGTCTCAAAAAGAAAAAAAAAAAAAAAAAAAAAAAAAAAAAAAGCACAAAAAAAATTACCTAACTTAAGATATTTAATATGTACAATATCCGGACTTCCTTAGGGATTGATCTGTTGACTGCTTTTTCCTTCTACATGTGAGCCATATCGTTTTAGTTCTTTGCATGGCTTGTAGTTTTAAATATCAAAATAGAACCGGGCGTGGTGGTGCATGCCTGTAATCCCAGCACTTGGGAGGCTGAGGCAGGAAGATCATTGCGAGTTCCAGACCAACCTGGGCTACAAAGTGAGCTCAAGGCCACCCTGAACTGCATAATGAGACCCTATCTCAAAAAGACCAAATAAATAAATAAATACATACATACATACATAAATAAAGCGGCAGCTGTGGAAATCAGATTCTACCTTCTCTTGAGGTTTGTTCCTGTTGCTATTGTTTGTTTGGTGACTAATTTCGTAAAGTCTGCGTTCTTTGTCATGGGTGACCACTCAGTCACACCTTTGTTCCACTAACTTGGTAGTCAGTTAACAGATTTCCTAAAATGTTTGGAACCAATATATCTCCTAATCACTGTGCACACCCATTGCCTTTCAGATTCCCAGAAGTATGTTGAAGCTTTTATTTATTTATTTATTTTTTCCGGTACCGGGAACCGAACTCACGACCTTGTGCTTGCCAGGCAGGCACTGTGCCGCTGAGCTAAATCCCCAGCCCCTGTTGAAGCTTTTAAAAGCCACTTAGGGATATCGCTTTTTGGTTAGCCTGTCATCCCCCCTTCAACTGTTATCTCAGACAGCCGTGTTGTTAAACACTTATCTCTAACTGTTTTAAATAAGTGTCCCTTGTTACGGTGTTTGCACTATAAGCTCAGAGATAGGTCAATTAAAGACAGCTTTGCAAGTGGGGACTTCCAGGGAATGGCCAGATAGGTCAGATAATGACACTGCTCTGGGGACAGGGTTTTGAAAGAGATCCAGCCCCATTCTGTCCTCACAGTCGCTACCAGGCTGCTGGTTTTTACTGATTTAAGGATGTTGGTTTTTAAACATAAGGCAGAACTAGAGAAGGGGGAAAGGGAATACAACCAAGCTAAAACATCATGAAACTCATTGCTTCTCCTGAGAGTCATCTATTTTTTTTTGGTACCGGAAATCGAACTTAGGACCTCAGGCTTGCCAGGCAAGCGCTTATGCCACTGAGCTATATCCCTGGCCCCAACCTCTTTTTTTTTAAAATACGTGCTTGCTGGGTGGCTAGAGTTTGGTTAATTTCCAGGTTTCTGAAAATGTGAAATCTGACATTTTTTTTCCCCGCCGTTCTCATTGCTTTGTGGAGCAGAAAACATTTTAGGGGGGGTTCTCACTGTCATTTTTTCCAATGCCATTCAAAGTTAATCTTCATAGGGGCCGGGGATATAGCTCAGTGGCATAAGTGCCTGCCTGGCAAGAGCAAGGTTGTGAGTTCAATCCCCGGTACCGCAAGAAAAAAAAAAAAAAAGACAAAGTTAATCTACATAGGTCACAGCAATATTTGCTGCACAGGGCTACCTTGGGTGGCATTATTTTAATTGTCGTTAATATTAAATGAGAGACCATGTGTGAACACTCTGCCTCCCTCCAGAGGAGAGCGGTCCCAGTGAAAACAGCGAGTGGGGAGAAAGGGCAAAGATACCCATTTGCAGAGAAAACGGACAGGAAAAGCAGAAACACGCTTTGGAAGGCAGTGCTCAGTGTCACAAGTGCTGCAACTGTGATTCACGGCTGGACTAGGGCAAGAAGGCCAGGACACAGACTGACCGCTGGGCCTCAAGGCCAAGCAGGGCCCGCTGGCCCCCTGAGCCTGGTCCGCTTGCCTGTCTCTTTCCTGCATGGTTCCTGTCCACCGCTCTCTGCATCTGCTCTGACTTTAAAAGGCAGAAGTTTCCAAGGACAGGTGTACAGGACCATAATGTCCATTCCTATGCATGGTCCCCAGAGAAGCTGTCTCGTCCTGCCCTGCCCTGCCCTGCTCTGCCCAGGGCGTTGGTTGGATGATGCATCTGTTTATAAGTGTGTAGCAGCGGCCAAGGGGTGTGGGCATCTGGGCTATGTGATACACTTCACGCATATGCCCATGCCCGTCAAAGCCCTGTACCCCAGCCCTCGGTATTTCCAAGACAGCTGGGTATTTGCGAGTCTCTGTGTACCTAGCCGGGGTGAGTGAGCCTGGGGCACCCTGGAGCAAGCCTGGGGGAGTAGAGGAGGAAAAAGAGAGGGGTGGAAAGTAAGGTTTGGGCTCTTCGTCCTGCATGCAGACGGCAAGATCTTGGGGACTTAGCACGGATGCTCTTGAAAAGTGGATTTCAAGGAACAGCTGGTCTGATGCTAGAAAGAAATCCTTCTGAACATCAGGAGGGAAGTCACAAATACCCTGGCCAGCTGCCTCCCAGGAGACACGTCTGGAAGCGCGGCAGGGGGCCTTACGCTGCTAAGCCTAAGTCCTATATTTTATGGCAGAGGAAGCAGAGGCTGAGGGGAACCTGATCATCCCCTAAGAGCCAGGAGGGCTGTGGGCAATGGTGTGGACAGCCAGGCCCTCTTTCCTCCAGGATGCGCGTCATTTAGCACGCATCCCGAGGGCGCCGTGTCTGCAAGATGGGGCTCACGTAGGCGGCCCTGGCAAGGAGCTCCCCTGTGTGTTGGTTGGGTCACACGGTAGCAACTCAAGGATTGCCCTTGAATTGCAGGAATGTTAGGGAAAGCAGTGCGGCTCTGAGCAGCCTGCCCAGAAGGACTGCGGGTTTTACAACAGGGCAGGTGGCTTGTCACAGACGCGCCCATGCTGCTGCTCCAGGCCTGTACCCGCAGGCCCGCGTGCCTGCTTTCCAGCTCTGCTGTCACTGGCTTAACATTCTTAGCAGGGAAGGGGGACACGGTTGTCATTTCGCGGGGGACCCCACTAATCCCATAGCATGTCCCCTCCACGGGTCCCTCCAGCCTGAGGACACAAAGTCACCCAGCCCGCCTCTTCAGGGAGCGAACGGAGCTGAGACACCAGTGAGTGACCACTGCCGGGTCCAGGAGGAAAGTGTCCGGAGACGAGCGCCCTGCTTTACCGCCGGCTCGGGACACCAGCACCGGCACAAAAGGGCCCGAGCTTCTTCCCCCTGCAGGAGAGGCTGGGCCGCTGCTCGTGCTGAGGCCGAGCAACCTGGCTTCTCTCCCCTGGGCAGCTTCTCTGGGGCAAAGGAAGGGCAGGAGGAGGGAGGGGCCGGGAAGTGGGTACATTACCCCCAGACAGGGTGAGGCGTCCGCAGCCCCTGTCCTCGCTGGCCTCCACCGCCATGCGCGCGATGCAAATCCTCCAGAGCCCGAAGTGGGCCGCCTCGCAGGTCGTGTTGTGCTGCTCCATGTGGGGGCTCAGCACGGCCCAGTGGTCGGTCACCACGGCCACCATGGCCAGCACCATGCCCACCAGGATGCAGAGGAGCGTCACGCGCACCTTCAGGGCTTTGGTCTGGGACATGGTGGTCACTGAGGTGTGGGCGCTCTGAGCAGGGGCCAGCCGCGTCTCCCAGGGTCGGTGGCAGCCCGACCGGCGATTGGCGCGGTGGCAGTGGCTCTGGAGTGGGGGCGGAGGCTAAGTTTAGTGTGTCCGGGTGCGCCAGAGTGGGCCGGCCTTGGGGCTGGGGCTGGCCGGGGCCGAGCAGCTGCTCGCTGAGTGAGGAAGGCTTCTATTAATGCTCCCCTCAGGCGTGTCACTGAGGATGGCTTCTGCTCGGGTTTCAGGGCTTTCTGCTCCACTTGGAGCCAGAAATATCCCAGGGTGGGGCAAGGAGATGGTGACTGGAGACCTCCGCCAGGCGGAGCTGGGAGGCGACAGGGAGGCCCCACTTCTTCACCAGGTGGTAAGGGCAGGGAACCCTGGGAGACAGCGAGTCCTCATCCCGAGGGGCTGGGTGTCCCAGGAACCCTCCTAGGGACGTCACAGGGACCCTGCGGAGCTCCCACGCGAGCCCACCTCATCCCCCACGGGGCAAGAACATCTCACCTGTTCCAGGCTTGGCCTTCCCAGCTCTGCCCTGGCCACGATAAGCTTGGTTTCTTTTCAGTTCTTTTCCCATCCCTGCTATTAGGGCCTGAAGGCAAGCTGCCTTTGGGGCCGGTGAGTCTTTAACACCTTTCTGACATTTACAAACTCCTCTTTGAAATAAAGTGAGACCAGCCTGAAGGGGACAAGAGTCCAGCAGGACTTGACCACAGGCTACTTCATAGTAATTTTCAGTTTTGCCTTCTGTTAAGGGCAGGCAGAACAGACTTTGCAGTTATGTTTTCACCTAGGAAATAAGTATCTGCATAAAAACGCAGGCCGATTCCCAGGCAGTGGGTACACACATACAGCAGAGACCATGTGGAGGTGTGGGACCCCTGCCCGAAGGTCCTGCCCGCTCCACACCCTCTGGGCTTACTCCTGAGGTCCCCGCTCCTAATCCCTCCTCCGTTCTGCTGTCTTCTGTCTCGTCAGCAGGGGGCCCTTTCTCTGAGTCTAGGAGTTTGTCGACACATGACCAGGAATAAATCTTTCAGCTGGGCAGGACCTTGAGCTTCAAAACCTCAGGGTGACGTAGGTTACAGGAAGACTCTTCCCACGAGCACAGAAACAATCCAGGGCGTCTAACCCTGGAATCACAGAATGCAAATGCTAATGCTTGGCAAGAGCGAGGTCGTGAGTTCGATTCCTGGTACCGGAACAAAAACAAAAGCAAAACAAGAAACAAAACAAAACAGATGCTAATGCTAAGTGTGATAACAGCTCTATTTTTTCCCAGTACTGGATTGAACCCAGGGCTTTCACACTGAATTACATCCACGCTCCTCTCTTTGTAAAAAATTTGAGACAGGGTCTAGTCGCTAAGTTGCCCAGGCTGGGCTCAGACTTTCCACCCTCCTGCCTCAGCCTCCTGAGCACTGGGACTGCAAGTGTGTGCCACCCCGCCTGACCATTGAAGTTCATCTTACACACACTAATCCATGTGTGAATACATTTTACCCAGGAGGATGCAGAGGCTCAGAGACACGTCCAACACCACACAGCAACGAAATGGTGAGGCCAGAGCCCGAACTCTGAACCAGTGGTTAGAGCTGGAGGAAACCTCCAAGATCTGTTGTGAGCCAAGGGGAATCCACAGCACAGAGTGACGATGTGGGGCTGGCTGGTGGGTAGACGCCAAAACGGAGCGGAGACCCGGCAACTCCGTGCTACTCCTTCCCAGCTTTCATTCTTAGGAAACCAGCCTCCCCCACCAGATTATAATCTCAAAAATTCTCCCCGAACCTTCTTCGTCTCTCCTGTCCTCCCTCGCTGCCCTCCACCCTGTGTTCCCAGCGGAGGCTGGTCCATCCTGGTGATTGCTGACTGACCCACAGACCCTGCTGAGCTAGACAGCCACTGCGTCTCCAGGATGGATGCTGGGAGGGGGTGCAGGCTCTGAGCCCCTTGCACTGTCCATGTAGACCCAGTTTTGACACCAGGAAGCTGGGGCTCTTGGGGGAGCTGGGCAGCCCCGGGCAGACCTACTGTGTGCCAGGTACCCTCGCAAAATTGCAGCTGGGGAGCCAGAAGAAGGTTCTAGCGTCTTAAGACGTCGCATCTTGAAAGGAGCTGTTTAATTTCATCATTATAAGTAAATGGGGTCACTTGAAGAAATGCAAATGTACTGCGCATTTTCTGGTGTAGCGGGCGCCCTGTGCTCTTCGGTGCTGTCTCTGGAGGTCTTGGAAGGTGCCCTGGAGGGGAGGCATGTGGGCCGACAAAGAAGCCAGGTCTCCCTCAGCGAGGGCAGCCACAGAGCCACGGGCTGCGCTTTTCTGCAGCGGGGGCAGGGCTCTGCCAGCTCCTCAGGCCCAGGCCCAGCAGGCGCGGGAGCATTAAACTTTGATGGCCTTTTCCTTTTGAAGCCCTTTGTGGAGGCCACACCGCTTTGCTGGCAACGCCGGCGATTTCAGGCCAGTGTTTCTCTTTCCTGTTTCCTAAGTCTCCTCACACAGACCTTTCTGCTCATGAGGCTGCGGCCAGGCTGTGGCTTTGCACGGTGAGGGCCTTGCTGGGCCAGGAAGCGGGGCAGCAGCAGGATCATGAGCATCTGCCGGGCGCCAGGGTGGGCAACAGCCGCAGGGTCCCCTCTGATCCCGAGCTTCCCTGGGCACTGGGCAGGAGGTGTCTGGGAGCCTGCGCAAAGCCTCTAGGGACTGAGGCAGTGGCTTCCACGAGTCCCAGGGCCGCTCTAAGCTGCCCTTTCTTCCTCTGTCAAAGGAGGGGCCCGGGCTGGGATTCGCAATGCAGCACTTTGCCCGCTAGCGTGTGACAGGCGCCGTGTATGGAACAGTGTCCCTGGAATCCCTGTGTTGAGGCCTCCGGGGTGATAGTGTGTGTTTGGGGTTGGGGTGAGGGCGGGGTGCTCACGATGAGATTACAAAAAGGCACCCAGTGTCTCTCTGCCACCGGAGGACACAGCCGAAGGCATCTGTCTGCAAGCCAGGGAGGGGTGCTGGCCCCACCGTCCAACCTCGCTCTCGGACCCACAGCCTCACATCTGTGCAAGAAGCCTGTCCGGCTGCCCACGCCACCCACCTGCGGTGTTCTGCTGTGGCAGCCCAAGCTGGTACGGGACGATGTATGCGGACTACAGATGGATGAGTTTTGCCCAGTGGACGTTAAGTTTCTTGAAGGCAAGCGTCCCCAGACTATGTTACGTACCCACTCAAGGTCTACCCTAGAGGCCCACCCTGGCTCCAAGCCCAGGCTAGAAACTTCATCTTCATAAATGCTTTGTGTGTGTGTGTGTGTGTGTGTGTGTGTGTGTGTGTGTGTGAGATACTGGAGCTAGAACTCAGAGCTTTTGGGCTGAGCTATATCCCCAGCCCTTTTTAATTTTTAAATTTTGAGAGAATATCTCACAAAGTTGCCTTGGCAAGACTTGAACTTGAAATCCTCCTACGTAAGTGTGGGCGTGGACATTTATTGAACGACTATTGGGGGAAGGGATGGATGAACAGAGGACTGAAGAAGAGGGGGGAAAGAAACTCAAATACTTTATTCTCCCAGACGAGCCAAAGGACTTTCCATGTGGCTTAAGGTCAGAGGGATTTAAGAAATGACTCCAGGGGCAGATCTGGGGGATGTTTTAGGAGGGCATGATCATCTGCTGTGCAGTTGAGTCCAAAAGGAAGCTGCCTCCTGAGATCCAACATTTCCGCAGACAATCTCAAAGTGCAAATAGTGGATCGGCTTTCATTTGTCCTAAAAAATTGCTCTTGCTGGGCGTGGTGGTGCACGCCTGTAATCCCAGCACCTGGGAGGCTGAGGCAGGAGGATCATCATGAGTTTGAGGCCAACCTAGATTACACAGTGAGACTCTATCTCAAAAAAAAAAAATTGCTCTCTTTTCCCAAGAACTAGAATATAATGAAGGAAGAAAAGCACCACTTCCTGGAGGTGGGCTTTATTCGGAAGCCCAGACCAGGGGCAAATAAACATGCTTTGGTAATGAGCTGATCTGAATTTGAGCTCAGGCTCAATTAGGCTGTGGAAGGCCTGGACTGTTTAATCTGAAGATTTTTTTTTTAAAGCAGGCTCCCACCCTCCCAGGTTCCCTCCCTCCCAGGCTTCCAGTGCCTCTTCGTCTCCCTCATCCGTCCTCAATTCCATCCCGGGAGCCTCTGCCCAGGGGCCCCAGATCTGTGTGTCACCTGTGTGTTCCCGAACACCCTTCCCTGAGCTCCCAGGGAGGCAGGCCCCTAGAGAGCAAAGGCAGGTGCTTCATTCAGCAAAGTAGCAAACAGTGCCTGGCCTCAGGAAAGCTGGGGAAGGGTTACTTTCAGCTCGCTGCACCTCTGAGACGCCCCCGTCCTGTTCACACCAGCCCAGCCCTCTGCCTCAGCTGCTCTCCTCTCCCCACTCCGCCACCCGGGCCCTGGGAGCCTGCTGGGACTACCCCGACCCCAGGCCCGGAAGCCTTCCAGCACACACGGCAGGTTGGGCTCTCCGGGACGCCTGCCCCAGGCACAGCAAAAAATGCGCTCCCAGCCCCTGAAAAGTCCACAGAGAAGTAAGGCCGCCAGGACAATACTAGCGGGATGCCGAGGGGTACCTGGACCGAGTGGAGGGTCATGGGGTAAAGCTCCAGGGCGGACAGGCCCTGTGCTGGGCCTGCCTCTGCGGAGCCTTGGGAGGCCTGTGGCTGAGGGCAGAGCTCACAAAGTGCACCCCAGGCACGTGAGGGGAGGAGAGGGGCAGCACCGGACACGTGACTTTTAATGTGAACTGGAGCGCCAAACCCATGTGTCCATCCAAAGCGTCTCTTTAGGGCAAGGCCTAAATAATAAAACACACGCCTATTTACAGAAAAAGAAGAAATAAACAATTTTCCGGGTAATGCCTAGCATGTGACAAATATCAGGCCTGTGCGGGATGGCCGACGTTTGGAGCACAGGCTGCTGTGTGCGTGCTTCCTGGAAGGGCCGGTCACAGCCCTCGCGTCCAGCTTTGCTGTGGACTGACTGGGCGTCGAACTGAGCCCCATCCTTGCATGCGCTGCAGGAGGGTAAGTCTTACTATGATTTTTTTTTTTCTCCTTTTTTTTTTTTCCGGTACCGGGAATCAAACTCACAACCTCGCGCTGG